TAACTATTTTGCAGGTACCCTGGTTCACATTACTGGACTGAGTGCCCATCTACCCAATCGGAGCTCCATCTGACACGTCTCATGAAGACTATTATTTTGGGACTGGCCCCGAAGCTTGAAGCAACTGAAATATTCCGCCACCCAGACTAAGCCTTCGGTTTTCCTCGAACCAGAGGACAACTATGCCCTTGTTCTTATGACGGTATACGATGCTTTCGCTTCCGTATCACGGCTCTACGCTCTGTGATTCCTAATGGCCCATATATTCCGCTCATTCCGACGTCTGATAGAAAATCTCAGCTCAAATGCCGTTAACTCACGTAAATTTGCCGAGGGCAGTCGTATGATATCAGATTTACAAGAAGTAGAATGACGTCGGATGTCATTCCACACTGAGTGGTTTATGCACACATCGCCGGAAAAGGCGAAACGCGTTACGTCACACTTAACAGAATACCGCAAACGACTCTGGCTCTTGACAACTATCTCACATTTCTGAAATACAACTGAACGTGCCCAAAGCGGAATAATGGAAAAGAAATAACTCGTGCAGTATCCACACTAATAATTTGAATGGTGGTTTGCCAACCACCTACTCTCAATGAAGCAAAATCCCAAGGACCACTAAGGTCTGGTGATCTCTTAATGTGGAAGCTAATCATCACCCAATACAGAATGCCGTAGCTCCACCAGTCCCAAGAGAATCGCATGTAAACCATTGAGGAAGAACCAGCATGCGTTTACTCTTCACAAAGGACTCCCGCACTCTGCTCATCACAATCGCATTCAGTCTGAGACTTGTCCGGCCAACCTAAGGAAATCAAGTCTGACGCCGCCTGCACACCCGAGTCAGAGGCCAATATATCTTGCACAATGTGTTTCTTTATAGCGTTTGACAGGAGTTGTCACAACAATGCTGAGAATTTTTTAGCATCAGCAGCTCACCCTTTTGTGTTTTCTTTGTTTGATTTTCCAACTGAACTTTCTCAGTAGCAGACAGTGGCCAAATTTCTATTCCATTTAAAGTCTTCGATGACATGCCGAGGTGTCTTTAATCACGCATACGGTCGTAAATGACCCTTCATCTTGGGCTGGTTGCCTCTTCGTCAAGCTGTCGTGACAACCCAGCCCTCATCAGCATATATCACCAACCAAAACAAATGTTGTCCCAAAAATTTCGCCAGGGACTAACAAAGGTTTGCGTCCCCTTTAATCTCTATTTGGTGGACAAAATTACACTTCCGTAAAGAGCATGTAATCAGTTGTCTCGAAATCCGCATCTTCTCATCCATACTTACCATCACTTGCCGACTTGGCAGACCATTTGAAATACTGTGGAGAGTGCTGGCACCAACTCAAAGAAACCGATTTAGTAAAAGATCACTATGAATCACCTGTGCTCCTCCCATAAGTTCACAGCCCAAAATGCCTGAAGAAGTTGTTCGTTTCTGGGTTTCTCCCACCTATCACGGTCATCTTCGGAATAAGCTTCCCAAAGCGACGGTTTTTTCCAGGGGAGGGGTCGCCTTTCTAGACGACATCAGACCAGGAAGCTTCAGAATCTCCAAAAGATATAGTTCCAGTTTCCTGAGTGTGCTGGGCACTCAATGCCAGATTCAGGCCTTATATCCACACACACATACCTACTTTCGTGAAATTTCGATTTTCACCAGAAAAATCTCGTTGTGCTCATTTCAAGCGCCACTCTTGCACTAGATTCCGCCGCCTCTCACAAATAGGATTGCCATCTTGGTTGATCCGCATATATTATGAGCATCCTTCTCCTCAAAAAGTTGCTTGTCAGGTTCTAATTGCGATCCCATTGGAGAATGAACCTCTTGGGAGTACCAACAAAGAGAACACTTCTTGATGATACCATCCGACGCAAAGGCAAACCAGTATGTTCTCACAGAGACACCTTAACGTTGCAGCTGCGCAGGGAAGCCAAAAACCGAACGGATACATCATCACCCAAATTCTTGAACCACGAAGAATCCAAGCGTTAGGCAGGAGTCCACGCAGATCCCACTATACCGCACGTCTTTAAGCGCTGCTACGGCCCAGAAGCCTGGCCCGCTCGAGGTTGGCCCAGAATTCGGGACGCCTGCCGGTCCGGCATCAAGACGAGATCTGAGTGGTCAACAATCTGGACCCAACAGCCAATCATGACCCAATATTGGCCAAATGCCGTTCCGCAATGGCGCATCCAGAACGCGTCAGAAATTCCAGAAAGTTATGACCGCTTACGCTATATATACGAAGCGCTGTACAACTGTTCTTGATTCCGTTTTGGGCGTCAATAGACCTTGTGCATCTTTGGTGGTTGTTTTGACGTGAACGCTAGCTTGGGAGGCTCAGACCGAGAACTAAGCTGAGGAAAATACAGTTACTACACTTGGATCCCATCCCCGTCGCTGCAAACAGCCATTCTTGGAAACCACAAGATGTGAAGCAGACTGTTGCGGTAACCTCTCCTAACCTCTTATCATCCCTCACCTTCGGACAGGGCAGAGAGAGTGCTAAAGTGATTGTTCACAGACTGCCTCGGTCTTTTCAACCGAATCCGCGACATTAAACAATCAATTTGTACTGAACAATTACCCGCAGCGCATTTACGGAAACCTGGGCTACGTCAGGCATTCATGACAAGAAAATCGCGGTAGACGGATTCTCCCTTTCCCTAGCTGTCTCGAAAAGCAGGAGAGCAAGTGGCTTTGCCCAACCTACTTGTCCCCTCCGACCCCACTTCTACACGATCCCGTGGGGCACTGTGGATTTAAACTCCGCTGTGCTGGACCGATTCCATCATCAATGTGTTCTGTCTTCGCCACTCAGTTTCTCCGGAACATTGCCAGTTCCTGAAGCGCACACTTAGGTAGCATTTCCCCCAGTCGCATCTATTGCTGGAAGGTAATTTTAACGTTCCAAATACCTGTTAGAAGGAACATATCAAAGTAATCCACGACAAAGACCTCACCCGGAAAAATGTGCCATTTATTTTCAGAAGGCGCCGCCGAAGAAATAAGTCAATGGCTTTCGTCTTGCAGGACAGAAACCTATGCCGACGACTGACCAAATAGTGGCACAAAGCCTACAGTTGACAAAATGCAGGATAATTTTTCGCCCCAGCAAATCCATCACGTTCAATTTAGAAGTACGTTGTTTCAAACGGCTTCCAAGGAGCTCGGTCTTCACATGGGGAGCTTTTTAAAAGTTTGCAACCCCCTTCAACGCGGGAGAAAATGATGAAGTCCGTCCAAGGACCCTGAAGTTAACCTTGTACTTTGACAACGCAGTTTTACTTGGCAATTCGTCATTTCCCCGAAGAAGGTAATCTTCCATCTGCTCGGTAGTGCAGGAAAAGATCGTTACACTTATCTAAAAAACTGGTGAGCGCCTGTCGCCCGATGGCTGCAGGTCCATCAGCCTCACTGGCGTACCATGTGGTCTGATGGAACGCATTCTCAACCGGGCCACTTTTAATCAAATGATAATGTTTATTCCCAATTTGTGGGTGGCAAATGTCATGGTGTCGTTGGGGTCAACGAAACGAGTAGGCAAGAGGGCACGGTTGAGAGGAGGAACGGAACAGTTGCGGGTGTGCTGTCAAACTTGGTATGGCAGTGCCATGCCATCATTGGCCTGACATGCTTCAGTTTTTGGACAGCCCTGTGACGGACGTCACATTTGAGATGATTGGACTTGGGTATGCAGTTCACTGAGCAGCGGTATTCATTTCAGCCTGGTCGAGGAAACAAGGTGGAACGAAACCGATATGGGATTGTAGGTTTTCTTGGTCCGATTGGTGATCCCGGAGTTGTAGATCATAGGTCGGCTGGAGTGGAGATCAGCTAACCAGGTCGACAAAGCGGGCACTTCCGAAGTTTAAAGCTTGGGGAGGTGATGGGATGGGAGGAGATTCGCAAAGTAGTGAGTTTGAGGGGATATGAAATGGGATAATATGCATTTATATACATAGAAAGAAAAACTTGGCGTCTGATGCAACTAGGGTGATGACAAGTCATTACATGGAGTAGGGAATAGATAGATTTGTACCTAGTAGGCTAGCGACCAGGGGCTGGTTTTGCTGATATAAGGTATTATATTACAAGGAAGCTAGTAAAAGCCGATATAAGCGCGCAAAAGCGTGGTATGGGAATCAGATGTGTAAGGGCTGGCGGGAATGGAATTCTAAGCTAACTGGTTAATCGAATGTTTATTGCCAGTTGGATATATACCAGGAGAGAAAGCGTGTGCTTGAGAAATAGTCACCAGTCCCCGAAGCACTGCTATCAGCTATAATCTGTAGGTGATGCATAGCGGTGAAGACTTTCGTGTCTACCACTGGGAGTGGTGAGTGGGTGTATTCTGTGTTTGGATGACGGAATGGGGTTTGGTGCGTTGTAGCCTCTGTCCTGACGAAAGCAGATACAACTATGCTCGCCGAGGTAGGCCATGGGCATTGCAGAATATTTTCAGGCTATCCCAGGTGATCTTTTATTTTTCTTTCTTTACATTTTTACAGATGAGAGTCCATCTGCATAACTCTACCGAGGCGAGCCCAACACCAGCAGCAACAAACAGAGGTCAGTAGTACTTTTTTTGATTTCCTGAATTTAAAGGCCAGACTCAGAACCACCGGCGATGGGCGATGCACCCGTGCTACTGGAGGGGTGGCGGGTATACGAACGCACCATGGTGCAACGTAACAGGGCGACCCTCCCTGCAGGGCGTACCCGTCCACCACACGAGGTTTTTTTCCTTCGTGTATGCTACCAGATCTGCAAGGTGGAAAACCATCCAAGCCGTCATAAGTGCGGTTTGTGCATTAACAAATACTCCAGCCACCTTTTTTGGTCGGGAAAAAGCATGGCCAGTAAGGACAGCTCGGCCAATCCGAACAAGCAACAGCATGCAGACGCTGGTAGAGGCAAGTCGCGGAGGAGAGGTGAAATGACAGTTGTCAGTGAGCGNATGTTGATACTCACGGCGATTGCACCATGGCTAAGCGGCGTCGGAGCGTTGATGTGGGCTGCCACGTCGAGCAGAAGCGTTCCGCGATATTGTGTGTGGGAGTGTTTATTGGAACAAATCATCAAATGTATATATATGAGCGCAGAATGTGCTCTGATAATGAAATGAAGAAATAAATCGACTTTAATTTGGTTTTATCAGTCAGAGTTAGACTGAAAGCACCGGTTTCCAGACAGAGCTGATAGAGTAATCCGGGGTAGGGACTCGACTAGGACGAAGCATAAGTTGACTGGGTAAATGAAAACGACCAGGCAAGTAACACAGCATAATTAGAATTAGTAGGTCATTAAGCTTTGCAGTGATTTGAGGAAGAAATAGCTAAT